CAGTCTGGGCGCTAACTTACTGTGCACCAGGTGCCTAGTACTGACTGGTGGTGGTTTAGGAGGCTGTCGCTGGGACTCTGCCAAGGCGGGAGCCACCGGCGAGGTCAGACTGACGAATTCTGACAGGTCATTCAGCAGCTGGGGAACACAGGAGCCAACCAATCAGAGCAGGGTCTACAGGATGATGACACATCTACAGGTGAAAACAGCAGCAGCAACATGGAGAATGGACACACACACAATGAGTGGTAACTAAAAAAAGGAAACACAGGGGACCATGAAAAATGGTCCCAGCCCAAGACTGTCTACACGTCATATGATATTTCAGGACTGGCACAACTTATGACTTGACTGCAGCTCTCATCCTAAACTCTGAAAACTAAAATCACCATCACTAGCAACCCTGTTGTTATTTATAAAGTGTCATGACTTAAATAAATCTAAAAACATTTGTTAGATTCACTAGTGGTAAAAGAACAGCGATGGTAAAAACCAAGCCTTTAATGATCCGTTTGATTTCTCGAGAGTGTAAACTTTATAAACATTTACGATAAAAACAGACAAACCTGGGCTTCTTCAAGAGTTGAAGCGATTTGCTGATCATCTAAAGATTGGCAAGTATTTTTATAATCAATTATTGTTGACTGTGACCTCGTTGATCTGCTGTTTTTCTCTGGTGGTAAACCGACTGTCTATGGGCTTCACACTGCTGACAAGACAAGCAATATGAAAACACAATCTTGGGCTCCATCAAACTATGCATTTTTTACTGTTTTACTGTAGGCCAAACGATCGATTGACTGATTAGTTAAAAAATCAGCAGAATAATTGAGAATGAAAATAAATAATAGCTGTAGCTCTAATAGCTCCCAGGTTGTTGTATTTTCACAGATTAACTGTGTTACGACAGAGCAGTAGACTCTATTAATGAACTGTTGCATAAACAAAATAAAAACACAAGACTGAATCCACAAACTAAAAATGACAGCTCAGCTAACACACAGTAAGACAGTGTGTTCATCAGACAGGTCGGCGTGACCTGCTCCAATGTGCACAGGTGCTCTGATCACACTCCAGGTAAGAGGAAACTCATTTCAGGATCTATAGTTATTTATGGTTTCTCCTTGGGAAACATCATCACTGCACAGGGGAGGAAGCGTAGGATTGGGCAGCTTACCTCTGACACCGTTGAGGCTCCCTGGGGTTCAGGCGAAGGGAGAGGGAGAGAAACAAGAGAAACAGGGATTATTGTGTCTGTGTGTGACAGAGTGAACACAGATGGAGTGAACGCAGGACTTCTGCTATGAAACAGCAGTGTTCCAACAGTCACCTGGACTCCAGGAATGTTACCTAGATGGATAATTGTTTTTAGAATCAGATGTAACATTCACTAAGTCTAGAAAGCCGAGACTTTTCTATCTGCATCACATAAAACTATGAGCCAAATTAAAGATGAGCCATTTTAACTCCCTGGACTGTAGAAACCCTGCCGTCACTGATGCCACTGATGTCAGTGTACCAGAGAACCTGGTGGCAGAAGAGAGGGTGGAAGTTAGCGACATTAGTCGGACATCGTTCATTTCAGGGGGTTTAAGGTTGGGATTTAGATTAACAACTAACCATAACCCAACTTCACAGATCTTGATCGCAATCTGCCATCTGGCCTGCAGACAGGTCCATCTGATATGCTACTGAAGAAGCACAGAGATGCAGGTAGTGACGGTCCTCTGACACCCGAGGCTCCGACACATGCGTGGTAGCTCATGAAGCAACTGTATTGAACCACTGTACCGAGGCATTGTTTTGGTCAAGTGACTGGTGACGTTTGAAGCACATCAGTGACATTTGAAGCAGTTGAGTGCCTCGGACGTCATACAAATCAGCTGATTGGTTTGGTTTGTCATGTGGATCACTTTACAGGACAGAGTGTGGTCAGTGACAGGATATCCCTATTTAGTGGCGTTCATTTGAATGTTTCTTTGCAGAGTAGGTTGGTTTGTTGCTGCCGTTAGTTGTTTTGAGAGTTAGTGTTGTAGTAGCTTGTGTATTTAGTGGAGAATCACTGTAGATAGAGAAACAGATCAATAGATAGCTAGATAGTAAGTTACATAGAGAAATAGATAAATTAGTTACATGGTTAGATAGCACCGACTTTGGTACGGAAGGTCGGGGGTTCGAACCCCGGTCAGGGCGCGGTCAATATCCAGCCTGGGTCCTTAGGCAAGGCCCTTAATGGTCTCATGGGTAATGAGAGTTGGAAAAATAAGAATCACACCGGCTCGGGTGGGGTAATAACATGAAAGCAGACCCACCAAGGCTGGAGACTGAACAGTTCTGGAAGAGCATATGGGAGAAAGAGGCATCACATAACAACAATGCCCAGTGGCTGGTGGACCTAAGAGCAGACCACAGCAACCTCCCTGAACAAGATCCAGTAACCATCACAATGGCAGACATTCAAGAGAGGGTC